ATATTTGGAACCCTTTTGAACTTCCCTCAGAAGTGTATATATATATATATATACTTCATATATATATATATATATATATATATATATATATATATATATATATAGGTTTTGATCAATATGGTATTATGGTTTTTTGGATGAATTTTTATATTACAAAAAGAAGTCTATCATATACGTTTTGTTTTGGTTTTGCTCTTACCCCTTAACAACCGTTAATTGCGTCACATGGGGCAAACAAGTCGTTTTAACATAAAATGATTTCTAAATAAATAAAATAAAAAAGCATTGTGAATCCCAGAGTAGTTTTGTCTGTTTTGTGCAATCAAGGCCTTTTGGCTTTATGTAGGCTTTAATTTCATGCTTTCTAAAAAGCTAAATTCAACTTTTTACCCATGGAGGAGTATGTGGCAAGAACAAGAACAAGAACAAGAATCCTAGAGAAACACAATTTCCTATTCACCTATCATCATCATCATCATCTTAATTATAATCATCCCTTAATCGTAATTAACCATCAACTACCATCGTTGACCTCATGCATAATCACCACCATCCACTACCACTACCACTACCACCACTTACCCTTCACAACCACCAAATCCACCTCCATATCCAATTATCCACCACCTCCACGTCATCCACACCGTCAGCTGTCAGCCAATATCGCCTCTATCTCCACCACTATCACCACCACCAACGACAACCTTCACCTTCACCACAATCGCCCACCTCTCTTCCACTACAACCGCCAACCACCATATAAAACCATTAAACAACATTCAAGAATAATTTGTCGAACACTGTCTAGTCCTAGTCCTAGTCATCCTGAACACCAAACGACTTGTTATATCTAATTTGTCATATTTTCCGCAAAAACATTATCTTGAATATAAAATATTATAATTATTTTAAAAAATTGGTTTTAAAGTAACCATTTTTATTGCAAAAGTTCATGTTTAAACGCCATGCTTGAAAAAATCAACCAATTCGTCCATATTTTTTTTAAAGAAAAGGGAAATTTGAATTTGGCTTTATTGAAAAGCGTGATCACCTTTTGTGATCATTGTTTCCGATATAAATATACAAACCGATTCGAACACAGTCACAGTTACCCGAAAACAATTGCAAACGTAGGTAGTTGATTGGTTCTTCAAATCAGATCTTTATTTTTGTGACTCGTGTAATTTTGACCATGAAGGGTAAAACGGTAATTTGACAACATGACCCGACCTACATGATCCACAAGGCATGATGCGTGGCCTTGACCGTTAAAATTCTTTCGTATACTATTGTTATTATACGTCTTTTATTTTATTTTTTAAGAAAAAAGTTTTAAAACTCAACGCAATGATTAAAATTTTAAAAAATAGTCTATAAATTTAGTCATTCAAAACAAAATTATTAATTGAAAATTTTATTTTTTAAATAATATTATAATAATTTATTATTTCAAAATCGCTTACTATTTTACCGACGGAGAAGAAAAAGACGGAATATATTTAGAAATGAAAGTAGGCACAATGATGAGCATGATGCATGTGGGTCTCCTAAAAAATGGACATAATCAACTTTAACCTAATTCAATGTACAAATTTTAATACATACATACATATACATATATAGACTTGAGATCATGTGAGACCAAGAGTTTTTCGTGAGATTCGTAAGACCAATTTATGTTCATTGATCAACTTTATAAGCTAATGACATAATGGTCTAAAGTTGCACGGTGACAATTTTGTGATTATTGAGAAGTCTCGTGGCAATTTTGTGATTATGAATGTTCAGATTGTAGATCTAATCCAATGGTTGAAAATTAGTCTTTTGAGTCTTACGAAAAACTTTGGTCTCACATGATCTTAGGTATTTATAAAAAAATATATATATATATATATATAGAGAGAGAGAGAGAGAGAGAGAGAAAGAGTTTGTTTCAAATGCAATTCATTACATTTGTACAACCAATTCAACCCAATAAATTTAAATATTTATGGAAATGATGAGAGTTCATTTATTATGATTTAAATATTTATGGAAGATGAATAATGTTCATTAACTATGATCAATATTTTATATTAGAAAACAATCAAAACTTTTATGAAATTACATATTCATAAAATTAAATGGACGGTTGAGATTGGCTTGTATTGGTTATACAAATGTAAATGGTTGTATAATAATTCATCTCTCTCGTGAACCTCCCGGGAACAAAAACTTTGATAACACCTGTCTGGATAAGATAAGATTTCCTTCATGACTTTCGTAATCTTAACGAGTACATTATAACTCAAGTGGTAATTTACGTGGATCACAAGATTTTGGATCTTGAATCATCCCGTGATGCTTTATTCTCTACCATTAACTACAACAATAGACGATAAATTTTGTATCGGTTTCTAATTTGATCGTCAAAATTAAAATAGAAAATATTAAAAATGACTGTTATGCTTTTTCATTCAAATTTAAAATTAAAACTTTTAAATGAAAATAACTTGAAAATGAATATTATTTTGTCAAACTTATAAATCATATCTTCAATCTTCAAATTTAGATCGAATGATGGAAAAATTGTACCATCAACCGATTGGCATCTACAACCTCCCTCTCATCCTACCCACGACATTTCTCGGTGGACCCACCTCCCAACCAACACAAGACCGCTAATGCCTCCCTAGAGATGGAATCTTTATTCGTAGGGCGTACCCGTGTAGGGCGGGAGTTGATTTGCATATCTGAATAGATACATCATACACACACATGGCTGAGTTCTGCTGAGAAAAAAAAATTATGGTGAGAAGCGTAAGAAGATATTTTCACCTTCACTGAGATTCACCAGATCAATTCACTTCTAAAAGCGTGATTCATGGATGAGCACGAGAATAAAAGTGATCAATGGTTCAGATCTCTTCATACGCTTCTCACCGTGACTTTCTTTCTCCTAGGATCCTTTGCCTACACATGCATATATGTATATACATGAATATATTCTATTATGAACCTAAAATTGATTAGAAATATAGAAATCATTCACACGCAACATATTTAACATGAATATAGACGAGTTATTCATCATAAATATATGGTTCATGACGAATAACAATTTTCATATTCATAATGAATATTCATCGTGAAAACGGACACGTAACACACTGCAGATAATATATATTTATTAAAAAAATAAAAGCATTTTTACAAAACTGCCCTTTGACTAATTACGACGAAAATCAAAATAATGAATTTATACCAACAATTTATCATCTTCCTCGAGAAACTTCATGAAGATTATGATGAAACCCTAAGCAACCCAGTAACCCTGATTTGTACGGCAAGAATGTCTTCCTTCTCATCTCCTCCGCCACCGCCCTGTTCGCCGTGTAATGTATTTCATGTGCAGATACCTTCCTCTTCATCCTCCGTGAAGACCCCCCTACAGAACCATCGCCATCATTGCTTCTAAAGCTTGAGTTCTTCACATCCTGCTCTCCTTTTGTTATCATCGCGTATTTTTTCAATGGGTCGTTGCTCGTGGTGGCGCTCCCCTCCGACGTGCTCCGGAAGAGTAACAGGTTTTTCAGGTTCCATTTGTTGTACCACGTGAACCCAAATGGGAATGATTGATTTGTTGAGACTTTCTGGTTGTTTCCGTCGTCGGGTAATATATCGGAAACTCTGAACGGCGATAAAGATCGTGATGCTTTGTGTTTGGTGGTGGTGGTGGTGGTTGTTCTTTCTCTTCCACGTGGAGATGGGTTTTGGGTTTGATCGATAGGTGTCTGATGTAATGTCTCCGAGAAATGATCGACATATTTCTTGTTAGAATTCCTTGGAGATAATGTCGGCGATCTGGGTGGATCATTGGATGATCGAAGACGTGGTGGTGGTGGTGGGTCTAACGGCTTGATCTTTCCACCGTGAAATAGCTCATCGGCGTCGGAGATAGAAGGCCGTTCTAACTGCCCACTAAAATCAAAAGCAAAATCCATATCAATATCATTTTCTTCATCTTCATCCTTATTTCTGTGGAGATTTTGGGAAGGGACTGTGGATTGGGCATCATGGGGGCTGATCGGAGAAAGGTGATGGAAGAAAGAGGAGCGGGTGGGGCTAGTGGGAGCACTGTAGAAGAAGTTGCCGGAGAACATCCTAGGGCTTGAAGGTGCGGTGGCGTAGGGAGAAGTGGTGGTGCTGTCAAAGTCGAAGTCCATCGGCGGCGACGGCATTAGCAGCTGTGGATCCATGGTGGGAGTTGAAGTTATGGAGAATGATGAGTAAGTTTATATGCTGATTACAGAGGAGGAAAGCAACACGGAAGGGGCGTCAGCCGCCTTTTTCTGCCTTCAAATTTTAATTTTTATAAATATTTAAAAAATAATAATTAAAATAGTCATAACTTCAATATTAATTAATTAAATTAATTAATATTTAAAAACTTAATTAAATGATGGTGAGAGTCAAGTAGACAGACCAAACAATTCCAAAATAAGATATTACAATAAGATTTTATTTAAGCAACGTATAAAATAATTATATATATATATATCAAAACGTGTTGTATAACATGATAATATGGTGGTAGTTGTAATTAATATAAGTATTTTTCAATACGAAAATGTCACCTGTGCATATATATATATATATATATATATATATATATATAAGGTTGGGTTCACGTGAGATCAAATGTTTTTTGTGAGACCCGTAAGACCAATTTATGTTCATTGATCAACTTTATAGGTTAATGATCAAATGGTCTAAATTGCACGGTGACAATTTTGTGATTATTGAGAAGTYTCGTGRCGTTTATGAATGTTTAGATTTTCAGATTGTAGATCTAATCCAAGGGTTGAGAATTGGTCTTACGGGTCTCATGAAAAACCATTGGTCTCACATGATNTATATATATATATATATATATATGAGCGATCAAATGAAAACCACTCAATTTGTAAAAACTGTAAAAATCTCATTCAACCAATCATAATTTTTCATTTTGTTCATTTTTTTTGTAATTATGAGAGGTTGATTAATCATTTTTATTGTGGAGGGTTTTTATCATGGATATTATCATCTTCATTATTTTAATTTTAAAGAAATACATGAAACAGTTTCATTAAAGTTTCATTAAGTAATATATGAAACAATTTCATAACCATATATGAAACAAATTCATCATAAAAAGTATTATATGAAACAATTTCACAAGATTAAACAATTTCATCAAAAAAATTCATAAGATTAAACAATAAATCGATGGATGAGGATAGTTTATACGGTTTTTACAAATTGGAATGATTTTCATTTGATCGTTCCCTCTCTCTCTCTATATATAATGGTAAAGCAGGAGTTTGTTTGTGGTGAGAAAACAAATCTTTTGACTTTGGAGGTTTTGCTTTTATTTGACTTTTGTTTGAATAAAGTACCAATTAGCCCATAAAAAAGGGGGGTTGAGTATGTTTTTCTCTTTTGGCAAACAATGAGATTTATTAATAGCCCATAATCACAGTTTTATTTTATTTTTACCAAATGCTTATTCGGTAACGTTTTCCACTAAAATTTAACATTATTTATTTATCGGGTAATATTTTAGTTCACAAAAACGACATCATATGCAATAATTTACCCGGTAAGCACTTACCGTGGTAAGAGTCGTCGCACTCACTTACCGGCTAAGACTCTTGGTCCTTATCTCGTTCTTAACGGGTAAGATTCTTGATTTTTACCATATTCATCCGCTAAGGTAATGTGACTTTGGTAAGCGTATGATAAATGGCCCCTAAATATAAACGATTATGTTAAGTGATCTAGACTTAATCAATAGAGAACTTTAAAATTTGTGGAAACTTCTATCTTAAGATTTTGTCTCATATGACTTTTTTTGTTGATGTATTGATTAACATATATATATATATATATATATGTATATATATGTATGTATGTATGTATTGATTAACCTGGATATCCAACCTACTATGCGAGTCGACTAATCCCAGTGCGACCACCTGCTTTGCAGATAGCCCGGAGTCACCGCATTTGAACCTCTGTGGCCACAAGAAGATTTTATTCTTCCTTGGATTTAAACTTGAGATCCCCTGGTACTTTTGACCTCTGGAGCCAAGCTCAAACCAATCATACACCATCCTTGTGGTTTGATTAACATATATTTGTGTCATACTCTATTTATTTCATATGTATTCAGTTACAATGTGAATTTTTTTACGTGTATTTTTGTTTCACAAACGCGTCAAAATATATGAAACAAATATATATATATTAATCAATATTTTAAATTCTAATCTTAAAAAAAGAAAACCATAAAAAATAAGATATAATTTGTTAAAAGTGGATGTGATATTCAGAAGAATCTAAAATGAGAGAGCACCTTCTTTTTTATTTATGATATTAATATTCTATAATTTTCTTCATTTATATCATATAATATAAATAATTTAATGTTTCATAAATGAGTTTCCATTTCTTGTTTTAAATATATATTTTTATATTTCTATTTAATGATTTGTGTAAGGGGCTGTTTGGCAGTTGCTGAATGGTTTTGTACAGAATGGTTAAGTGGTCAGAATGGTTAAGAGGGTCAGAATGGTTAAGTGCTGAATGAAATATGGTTGTTTGGTAAATGTTCACTGAATGACAACAAATTACCATTTTAACCCTCTTCTCATTGCCTCTACTCTTTCCAAATATCAGGCACAACTCATCATAATAAGGATACCAAAATCAATTCAACAGATACCAAAATGATACCAAAATGGCTTGATTCAACAGATACCAAAATGATACCAAAATGGCTTGATTCAACAGATACCAAAATGATTAGCTCATAACTTGAATCCACCAACGATCAAATCGATTACCTCATTCAAACAGCCCTAAGTTCATCGACATTGTTACTGCAGAGAGAAGGAAAAAGGAGACAGAAGGGAAATACCTGAAATCGAGTGGGAGACGATGTAGAAGACAACAGAGTCGATGGAGAAGACACTGGAGAACACGATCGAGTGGGATGAGGAACGAGGATCTCGCGTGGGAGGAGAGACCGGCGGGAAGCAGTAGGGGCGGCGACGATCGTGGGGGGGGGGAGACGGCCGGCGACTGGAAYCGACGATGGGAGGGGGGAAGCCGGCGACTGGAACCGGCGAATGGAGGGGGATGCGATGTTTGGAATCGACGATGAGAGGGCAGAGTTGGAAAAATAAACATCTGAATGGTTGAGTGAAGGTCTAGGTGCAAAATGGTTAAGAGGTTTATGTAACCATTAAGAGGTTGTTTTTTTTTTGCCAAACAATCTTGACCTCTTAACGATTAAGAGGTTGGCTCTTAATGTAACCATTAAGAGCCAAACAAAGAGCCCCTAAATAATGTAAACATTATGTTTGATAATAATTTATTTTTTGTTAGATACAAATTAAATACAACAATAATTATATTTTTATAGAAATAATGTTTTTTCTATTTTTTTAAATCAAATAACATTAGTGTTTTTATTTGTTAAAAATATTATTTATTCATTAATATTTTTACGTAACTGTCATTAAATTTTAACGAGATTGTCACTTAGGGGCCATTTACTAATGCTAACGTTATAAAAGTCATCACCCTTTCTTGACTTACCAGATAAGATTTTTAACAATCAAAACGACATAAGATCATTCTTGGTAAACATCTCTTACCTGGTAAACAGTAACCGAGTAAAAACATTGATCCCTTTCGTGCTACATTATTCAAGATTTACACCTCTAATAAGGTAAACGGGAGTGATGATTTTTTCACGGTTAATGTATTTGTAAACGACCCTTCAAATCCAGCAAGGCCAACCAGATTGTATCGATGAGGACTTGAGTCATAACTTTTTTTTGATTAACCTGGATATTCAACCCGTTATGCGAGCCGACTAATCCTAGGGAGACCACCTGCTTTGCAGATAGCCCGGAGTCACCGCATTTGAACCTCCATGGCCACAAGAGGATTTTTATTTCTCCTTGGATTTGAACGTGAGACCTCCTGATACTTTTGATCTTTGGAGCCAAGCTCAAATCAATCAAGCACCATCCTTGTGATTGACTTGAGTCATAAGTTGTAGTGTACATATGAAGGTTTTATAAGAAATCACAATGACTAAGGTGTTAGGTTTTGTAAGAAACCGTAAGTTTAATTAGGCTCAACCGTCCATTTTATTTGATTAATATGTGATTTCATAGAAGTTTTGATTGTTTCCTAATATAAAGTATTGATCATAATTAATGAACCATATTCATCTTTCATAAATATTCAAATCATAATAAATGAACTCTCATCATTTCCATAAATATCTCAATTTATTGGGTTGCATTGGTTGTATAAATGCGACAGATTGTATTTGAAACAAACTCTCTTTGTATATTTTAATTTTCTATTATTTAATTAATCATGTTAATGGTGCAATCAATGTACTTGAACTTTATTTTAATTTTCATATTTGACTTTGCAATTTGCATTGGGCTAATGGGCTTCATTTTAATAATTTTTATTTTTAATTATTTAAATAGGAATTCAACAATCGACTTAATTTGACCGTCGGACATTTAAAATTAAATATTAAAGTCTTTAAATTAATTTACTTTAAATACTCAAAAGGAATTGGTCAATATTTTGTTCACATATTATAATTTAGTAACAAGGTTTTAAATGATATAAGATATGACGTGATAATGAAATTAATCTTTAATCATCCAATTTGTACAAAACGTGCAAATCATCATCATCTATTGATTTTATTGTTTAATCTTATGAAATTTTTTCATGAAATTGTTTAATATAGTGAAATTGTTTCGTATAATTTTTTTTTGACAAAGTTGTTTCATATAATATTTAATAAAAATTTGAATGAATTTGTTTCATTTATATCTTTAAAATTAAAATAATGAAAATAATAATAACCATGATTAACACCCTACACAATAAATATGATTAATCAATCTCTCATAATTACAAAAAAATGAACAAAATAAAAAAGTATGATTGGTTGAATGAGGTTTGCGATCTATACAAATAACGTGGTTTGCAAAGTAAACCTCTCATCTCTTTCTCTCTCTCTCTCTCTCTCTCTATATATATATATATATATAGAGAGAGAGAGAGAGAGATGGTTATTATACAACTCTTTACATTTGTACAACCAATACAACTCAACCTCAACCGTCCATTTAATTTGATGAATATATAATTTAATAGAAGTTTTGATTGTTTTCTAATATAAAGTATTGATCATAATTAATGAACCTTATTTATCTTTCATAAATATTTAAACCATAATAAATGAACTCTTATAATTTCCATAAATATTTCAATTTATTGGGTTACATTGGTTGTTCAAATGTGATGAGTTGCATTTGAAACAAACTATATATATACATATACACACACTAAAAGGATACTCGCGTAATGCAAAGAGATATATCTTGATTTTAATGTTTCATTTTTATCATTTTCTCTGTCAATATAATACAGTTTTAGAAGAAACATATAATCATTGGTTCACCTACGAAAAAAAAATCATTGTTTCACCTATGAACTTTAAACAAAAATTATTGTTTTTCACCTATGAACTTTAAACAAAAATCATTGTTTCACTGGTGAACCTTGTGATTTCACCTACGAACTCTATTAAGCATTTTTAATTATCCCATTTATTTTATGATTTCAGTTATGAACTTTAGTAAAAAATTGGAACAATTGAAGTTCATGCACGAAAAATATTATGAACTTTAAATAAAAATCATTATTTCAAAGTATTTTTGATGATGAGGTATGAGAAAAGACAAAAAAAAAAAAAAAAAACTTAAATAAGAGATTTGTAATATGAATTATAATTAAAATTGAAAAATTAATAAATAATAAATAATCAATAATGTATTAGTTACTTTCAACTTAGTCATAATAATGCATATATAATATATATCTAAGAAAAAGACAAAAAGTTCTAAAGGGGTAAGCTGCAATGTGGGGTGTTCAGTAGATCATTTATACTACTTTACAAACAAGATTTATTAAAAGTCTTAGAAATAACTTTTAATGCATAAAGTCTTAAAAACAACTTATAATGCATTAAGTACTACTACTTTATGCATTCAGTCTTAAAATCTCTTAATCTACAATTCAAATAATATATAGTACAAGTTATCAATGTACATTATTATCTTTTCTTTTCATGTTTTCAAGACACTTTTGACACATTGCACTCGTTCTTTCATCTTCTAATACTTCTATGTCTTCTCTTCATCCCTCATGGTGAATTTTGTACTTTTAATGAATAGTTGCAATCATTTTTAGTTGTAAGCTTATTAGAAAATTTGACATACCGTCGTATTACGCGAGTACATAACTAATCAAGTATGAAATCAGAAATCAGTTATTATTAGAAAAATCATAATTAATAACATAATTCCAATTGAAAAAAAAATCTTCATTTGTGAACCGAAAATCCGAAATGGGTCAAGTATCCAACCAGTTGCTACTATTACAATCACCGGCTGACGATAAAGAAGAGGTCATGTTCATGCATGAATATGTGTTCCTGCACACCAACTGTTTGTAGAAATTCCTCAATTGTATTTGTTATCCATTTGTTCATACTACCCATGAATTCAAACCAATTTCTCATTTATTTCTTACAACTTTTTCTCAATCTTTTCATGGTAACATCTTCCTGCAACCAACTGTTTGTAGAAATGCCTCAATTGTATTTGTGATGCTTATCTATTTGTTCATGTACCCATGAATTCGAATCAAGTCATCAACTTCTCATTTTCATCACCACTTTCTCTCTATCTTTTCATGGTAATGTGTTCCTGCACACCAACTGTTTGTAGAAAGGCCTCAATTGTATTTGTGATCATCTACTTATCCATTTATATTCATGTACCCATGAATTCGAATCAAGTTCTCATTTTTCCTTGCCACTATCTGTCAATCTTTTCATGGTAGATTGTAATTGTTGTACATGTAACATTGGGGCCGATAAAGATGAATATAGAACATGAAAACATCTGGTACTTGATACAGTGTAGAATAGCACCCGTTATGATTGAGTACAAAAAAGATAAGCTACAACAAAGATCTGAAGTAATATAATCGTAACAAAAACTACAACTCGAACCCACGACTAAGATCAATTTTTTCCCACTAATCTTGAAGTTGTACTTGTTCAAGGCAGCTTTCCTTCCAAGAACGAAGAGAAGAATGCCAATCCACGAGCCGGTTGGTAGCTTGGGACGAAATGTCCAGCTCCTCTTATGGTCACGAAGGTTAGGTTTTCGTATCCCACAACATATCCACCAACCTGAAAATAACATCAAGAAATTTCAATGGATCTTTTTAAATGGGTAATTATCGTTATACGACTATATTAAACGAGGATGAAATGGTGAAGGTTTTCTACCTCGCCTTTGTTCATCCATGGATACCATGGTGTCTTCACTGATGTTTGTAGTTTGTCTATTGAATACCTACTTGTTGTCACTGGTACCCTCCCATCTGTATCTCCACTGGAATTTTAAAGATTCTTTGTTCTTAGTTATGTTTACAATCAGCTTAATTCACATATGAATGCATCCATTTGCTCCAAAGAAACGCTACAACTTGTCTAAATATCATAATAGATTGTTTCATAGGACTTAAGTTTACAGAACCAAACAATTGTGCATCTTATGGAAAAGTGTTACAATAAGTTGACACAACACTTTTTAGCATCCCAACAAGTTTTTTAGGCACTTTGAAACAAAATGTCTTATTACAGTTTTATATGACAGTTTTGAGAGTTGTCATATAAACGCGTCTTTTTATAGGACACTTGTTCTATAAGACATATTTTCAAATATTGTTAATAAAAAAGACTTTAAAAGTGTCTTGAAAACTTGTCAGGGCACCCAAAAACATCCTATCAACTTATTGTAACACTTTCGTACAAGATGCACTATTGTTTGGTCCTAAAGTCCTATAATTCAGTCTATTAGGACATTTAGACGCGTTTGACGTTCTATAAAGCCGATTTTGTTGCAGTGAAACAACGTTAGATTCACTACCTGTAGATCCAAATGCTGATTCCACTCGCCATTATATCCTGAATCACAGGCAAGACTGTAAACGGCATATCCTGCCAGTGTTCGAGGATGAAATCACTGCATTCGAATACAAGAAATCGTATAAAGATTGAGCAAAAATGACGTTTTATTTATATATGTTTCAAAATTTTCAGATTATGAACTTGTTTCAAATCGAAGGGCACTATTACTTGCAAGATTCCCATTGAACTGGTCTTGCATGAAGCGATTGTTGTACAGCAGGAGTGTTCAAGTACGCTAGGATGTAATATTCGGTGCATGGATCAAATCCTGATATCTGCTTCAATCAGGTCAGGTGAGTTTCATGCTATATTTTTCTATGGATATGTTTATTTAGATCATCAAAACTTACCGAAGGAGTGCTATTGCTCGATGATGAACATAAAGGAGCATAGATGTCGTAGAAGTAGATGTTGCTTTTGGCAGCATATGCCTGCTGTACGTAATTATGGCATACTGCGGTTGAGGGTGCAGCCTCAGAAAAATTGCAGTTGGAGACGATTCCTTCGTGTATTTCATCGGAAATGATCGCATGTGTCCAGAAATAGTCGAACATTCCTGTGTTTTCTGTTTCATCGTCCACATATGCATTTCCGAGCTGAAATTAAAAAGCAACACGAACATGTCCATTCTTTAGTTGGTATATCGGATCTGGAGGTGGGGTCTGAAGATGTATGCAAATTTGACCACTACCTCAAAGAATAGAGCGAATTACTAGTAACTTCAAACTTACCGCGATCCCTTTCAGGTTAATGACGGTTTGGTTGGTGATCTTGTTGTTTTGAAGAATTAACTGTGCGAGTTCAGGCACGTAATGCCCTGCGTAGCTTTCTCCCGTGATATAGAAATCTCTAGTTTTGTATTCGGGGAACCTTTCTAACCAATTGACTAGAAACGTATACGAATCTTTTGCTGTTTGTATGTCTCCAGTTATGTAATCCGAAGATGTGTTCGAGTATGAAAATCCAACTCCAGCCGGAGATTCCAAGAAAAGCACGTTCGCAACTGCAAAGGTGATAATCGATAATTATAAAAAGCTCGGTTTTCTCTTTACAAAAGACAGTACGGCAAATTTGGCTTTATAAAAACGTCAAATATGTTTAAATGTCCTAATAAAACTGTTTTATAGGATTTAAGTTTATAGGACCAAACAATTGTACTCCTATTTAAAAGTAGAACGTTTTATTCAAAGGTGTCCTAGAAACTTGTTAAGATGCCAAAAGCATTCTATTAATTGTTTGGTCCTATAAATTCTTAAATCTATTATAAACACTTTAAATATGATATGACGTCCTATAAAACTGATTTTGTTATAACGATTCTTACCATTATTCCATGCATATTTATTCCGTGACAGGGTTAGTGTATCAGCATTGACTCGAAATGGTCCAAGTTCCATCATTGCTCCATTTCCGAATGAAGAACATCCCGGCCCTGCAGTAATTTATATCGCTTTATCAGTTTTTTTTTATTAACCTGGATATCCAACCCGCTATGCGAGCTGACTAATCCCAAGGCAACCACCTGCTTTGCAGATAGCTCAGAATCACCGCATTTGAACCTCCATGGCCACAAGGGGATTTTTATTCCTCCTTAGATTTGAACCTGGAACCTCCTGGTACTTTTGACATTTGGAGTCAAGCTCAAACCAATCAGACACCACCCTTGTGGTTGCTCGATCGTTTCTTGTACACAAATGATAAAAAAATTTGAAAATTTTCAAGAAACATTACCTCCATTGAGCCATAGTACAAGAGGATTAGTTGAAGAGTTGCTCGGGGACTCTGTAAAATAGTAGAAGAGTGCTCGTCCATGGTTCGGTTCAACGGTCACATACCCTGAGTACTGATCAAAGTCAGTTCCGGCTGGTTCACCCGGCAACGCTGATATCTTATCGAAATCCTTCAAACCATCTTGAGAACCCACGTAGACCGGTGAGTATGAGTTCTGATCGGCTCTGCTATCTTGGTTACTGACATGATATGCGGATTGTGATCTTTTTGAACGTTGTATGTTTAGAGCGGTCTCGAGAGGATCGTATCCATTTCCACCATAACAATGCACAAAAACTAGCAGACTGAAATGAACTGAGAAAAGAAACGCAGTCTTCATCGATCGATTCGAATTAAGGTACTTTCTTCTTCTGCTGGTTAGATGATATATATATATATATATATATATATATATATATATATATATATGCATTAGATTGTTTTTGGAAGTAACGATATGTGTTCTTGTTGAGTTTACAGCTAATGTGATAAAACCTATGTTTTTTGTTGTTTGAAAAACGAAAGAAAATAACAGACATGGTACAAGGATGCCGGATCTATACATACATACATATACATACACATACACACATATAATTATAGTTATTGCACATAGTTGTGTGCGACAAACAGAGTTATCGCACACCAAAGGCGTGTGATATCAGGTTTATTGCACAAAGCATCGTGCGACAAAGAGTTTTATCGCACAAGAGTCGTGCGATATACAAGGCTATTGCTCAAAGGTCGTGCGATATACTGGGTTATCGCACAAGAAGCATGCGATATACTACTATTCATTAGATTTATATCGTGTGATAAACTTACTGTTCATTCATGTGTCATGCGATATATTAGCTCAACCACTGACTTCCTGAGAAGAACGATACCCGACTTACCCTATCACTAGGTTTAAGTTAGGTTATGAATCTAAACCTTGGTGTGCATCTAACGAAGCGTGCATCAACGACCTTTCCCGCAAACTAAGTCTAGTTTTTGTCTTTGTTGTGCCGTTTTCCGACCGTCTCCTGATCGCTCTCCAACTGTTTTGCGACTCAAAGTCTTGGACGGATAGCGTGCAGTTTTTGGCCACACGAGAAATACTAAATCTAACATTCTTTTAGACCATGGAACCAAACGGGGGTTAATGGATCACAGTGAGAGCTTAATATTTTCAATTTAGCAACTAAATAATTCGAATAAAATCAAAATGTATATTTTAATAGTAACAACGGAATTACGAGTGTTACAACTGAAATATCTCTAAGAGTATAAATTACAATAACAAATTAGTTCAGAGTGTAACTTTGAATTTGGGGCATATTTGGTCTTTTTGAACTAACAACCAAAAAAACCCTCATCTACTACAAATAAAACTCGAGCGCGTATCTTGTTGCTTTTAGCGTTTAGTGTTTTATCTTGATAGGAGGGGCCTCCCCCTCTATATAAAAAAAAAAACCCATATGATATGCATTTTTGCTTGGTTTTTGGTTCTGTCCACTATTCCCGTTTGTCCTCCCTCAGTTAACTCCCGCTATGTGCTTTGCAGAAGAATGTAAAATGGTTATTTTCGATTTCTATTTCTCTTTCTTGACGTTCTTCTTCATCCCAAATTTATTCTCTTTTGCAGCTATTTGGTATCACTATCTGCTTAGTATCATTCCGTGAAAAAGTGTAGAAGCTCCGTCAAGATCCGTTCTTTGTAGAACTGTAAGACGAGTTGATACAATATCTGGTTCACAAAATCCCTAAAACATTACTTAATTTTCACGCTAAGGACTGATCTAAAACGACATTGTAGCAAAGACTAGTAAAATAACATATTTTGTGGAGAATGAAGTACAAGCAGTTATTTGGGCAATGAAAGTAATTACAACAACTTAATTAGAATCATCAGTAAACCTCACGAATCAAAGCAGTTCACGCAAATTTTCATGTCTTTTATATATGTTCGACACGCAAAACCACATCATTTATTTATGAATGAAAGATAATAAAAAGATATAATGAAATGAAATTATGATGTGTTTTCAATTAAATATATGGAATAAGTAGGGAAAATTGAAATACATGATAACAAAGTTTTAATCAATAAAAAGAGAAGATGAGTGGTATAAGATTTTTTTTTAAAGTTAAAATAGCAAATGATGAAATGACAGACTTGTCCTTATGTGATGACACTTATTGGTTGGAAGTTGGAACATAATAATCGTTATTCGTTAACACGAAACATCAAAATCAAGCATATATATATATATATATATATGAGCGATCAAATGCAAACCATTCAATTTGTACAAACCGTGCAAACCGCATTCAACCAATCATAATTTTTCATTTTGTTCATTTTTTTTGTAATTATGAGAGGTTGATTAATCATTTTTATTGTAGAGGGTGTTAATCATAAATATTATCATCTTCATAATTTTAATTTTAGAGAAATACATGAAACAGTTTCATTAATGTTAGAAAATATATGAAACAGTTTCATTAAGTATTATATTAAACAACTTCATCAAAAAAAGTATTATATGAAACAATTTCACAAGATTAAACAAGTTCATGAAAAAATTTCATAAGATTAAACAATGAAATCGACAGATGAAGGTGGTTTGCACGGTTTACACAAATGAGGGCGGTTTTCATATGATCATTCATATATATATATATATATATA